CTTCTTCCATGTGGGCTTTGTTGCTTCTGAGCTTGATGGCCGCTTGATTACCTTCAAGCCTTTAAGACCCCAGATGCTATACCTTTTTTGATGACGCACCGCAAAATTTAAACAACAACGAGTCTGCTCCAACTCCTACCGATTCGACCTGTCCATGGTTCCCAAGACTACAACGCATTAACGAAGCACCACAGCCTCCTCTTTCTCCCTCCAGGTGGCTGGTCAGTTTGAACCGCAGACCTTGCTGTTCGCAGCAAGCGCTCCAACAATTACCAACAGCACCAGTCAATACTGAAGCTTAGTGAACCTGCTAGGAGAGGGCAGAACTGCCCTGGGAGTTTGGGGCCGTCGCTGTTGACCAGAGTGAAAGGTCCCGTCTCTCTCTGAGGAACCAGTAGTGCCGCCCATGCAGACCACACACACCATCAGGACACCAGAACTCGAGGGGGAGAAATTGCCCTTCAGAAAAGCAGAAGAAAATATTATGTAGTCACAAATTGGTCCCCAAAGCAAGAAGCAAGGACCTTTTCTTTCCCCCTTTTAATTTCTTTTTCTTTGCTTGCAAGGTCGGACCTTTTGCTTTTTAAGCTCGAGGATGGAAACTTGCTGCTTTACAAATTGAAACCACCCCCAATCCCATTGGCACGGGCTGGCTTCTATGACTTTACAGAGAGGGGCTCAGATTGTGTTTAAAAGCTCAATGCTGGATTTGCCTACGTCTTTCGGATTTCATTCTCTGAAGCACAGGCCACTTGCTCTAACTCTTCTTGCCAGCAGCTTCATCAAGCAGTTGAAAGAAGGATGGCAAGAATGACTATATATCTCCTTTCCCTTTCCCTCCAGGTAAGTTCAACCTAGGGGCAAATTCTAACAGACCTCCCTGCCGGCCTGCTCCTTCTACTAATGAGCCCTTCCTCTCTCCATCCCGTCCCTGTCCATTATAGCTGGAATGACCTGCCAAGGCACTCACACCGGACACTCAGTGAGAAACCACTGAGCACAAAGATGCAGAATTCCAGAAACCACAACCTTCATCTAGGAGAAGGAAACAAACCCTAACACAAACCGGAAGTCACCTTTGCTCTGCATAACCGAAGAACCTCTCTGCTTTGATGCAGCAGTTTCTCTCAATCCACAAACCCTTCCGGAGAACACAGTGGGATCAATCCTTTAAGACAGACTGGAGGTGGCACTGATACAATGTAAGCGCTTACTTGAGTTTATGGAATTTCATCTCTGAAATGACCATAAACAGCGGCATGTGGCAGATATAAAATTTCCTGGAAGGAAATTTGTTCCTTGAGAGAAGAAAAAAAAACAACCCAGCTGGTAGCTAGGGGGTCATTTAGCTAGTGTACACACTACCTGGTCCACATTATTTGGACTTTCAACTAAGAAAGGAGGCAAAATGTTATGCATGTAAATGAGAAGTAAATTAGTTAGCAAGTGAAATTCAGAGGGGGGAAAGCAATAAAAAGTAAATAGTGGAATTCTGGGCGAGCTATGTCTGTGAAGAAAATATACCTGAGTGTGGTAGTTACATAATCTGGTGTCAATTTGAGAGGATTACAAGTGGAGGGGTGGAGTCTGGCCTGTTAATCAAGATATAACCAATGAGGCCTCTGTGTAGGCATGGCCTTCTCCTTAGAACAATCCACTGTATACAACTAAAACCAAAGATGAGCAGACAGGGTGAGAGGGGGAAACCAGATGAATGAAAATGGGGACCATTATGTAGACTGCAACAATGTCATGTTACAATTCCTATGTGAATTGAATGGAACATTAATTTACCATATACACTTTCAACTAAAATACAACATGTCCCGCAACAATGTCTCATTTGTTCACAAATGTAAATGTTATCATGAGTTGTACTGATGGGAGAAATGCTTAATTGATGCAATATGGGCAGTGTTAGAATGACAGCGTTAGATGACAATAGCCAGTCCCACTCTGTGCCAACTCGTTATCAGTCCTGAGCTCCCAGGGAGCACGGGAACTAGAGGTGATTGATTATCTACAAAGTGGAAAGCACATAAACTTCCCTGTAGGCACATACACTGTGCAGTGCTTTGCAGAAATTTGAGTTCCCAAGATGGAAAAACTGGGACTCAGAGGAATGAAGTAATTTCCCCAACATTCCACAGCCAAGTAAAGTTCGGCCAGAAGTGGGACTTGCATCATGCTCCTATCACCATTCCAAAGACCACGTTGTTTTGTGGGCAGAAAGGAGCACAGGCAGAACGTAGGCTCTTTGTGGGTCTAGGTTTGGGTCTGAACTCTGCCTTCTCAAGAAAAGAATGTGAAGCTTAGACTTCAAATGGGGAATCATCCTGTTCCTGGCTTCCATCCTCATTGTCCCAGGGCCCCAGAATTTCCTCTAGTTCTGCTCTAGGAAGACCCCAGCCTTTCCAGTCTCCAGAAAATCCAATGAAGACTTCTCATCTGTTGGCTATATTAACATACCATACATACTCGTGTATAAACTGAGTTTTTGGCACATTTTTAATACAGTTTTTGTGGTAAGATTAGGTGTGTCAGCTTATACTCAAGTATATATGGTAGCTGTTGTTACCAACTAATGAACAGTTGGCCCATTTCATGGTGACTCCATGCACAACCCAGCAAAATACTGCCTTCTCCTGTACTGTCCCCATGATCACTTGCAAACTGGACCATCATTGTGATCCATAGCATTAATATAGTGAGTCTCCCACTGGAATTCCTTAGAGAACATTTGAAAACACATGGTGGGTGCATGGCCTTATGCACCTGTTAACATTCATAAAACATACACTACAAAGAGTGAACCTAAATGTAGACTACAGATTGTTGTTAATAATAATAATGTATGAATGAATATCTGTTTGTCAGTTATAACAAATATACCACAGGAATTCAACAACGTCAATAAGAGACAAAAGAGATGTTTAAAGGAAATGGTGGGAAGAGTTATAATTGGACTCTACTTTTTGCCATTGAGTCATTGCCAACTCATAGTAACCCTAAAGGACAACCACTCTTTATGGGAGTAAAAAGCCCTTTCTCCCTAGGAGTGACTAGTGGTTTTGAACTACTGACCTTGCAGAGCACAGCCCAATGCATAACCGCCATGCCACCAGAGTTTCTGGACTCTACTTTCTACACGATTATTTTTTCCTGTACAACTAAAACTGCTCTTAAAATTGACTC